CTTTCCTTTGCTTTGCTTTCCTTTTCTTCTCTTCCCTTCCCTTCCCTTCCCTTCCCTTCCCTTCTCATCTCTCAATCTCATTTTCTTTACCTATCACTAATGCCTCTTACTTTGCTTACTTACTCTTTCTCCTTTCTTATTTTATTCCACTCTCTATTCCTTTCTCCAATCTCTTTCATTCTGTTTTCTGTGACGGAACTATACCATCATTAGTAGACACTTTTCTTCATCTCTACAAATCCCTCAAAAATAAATTCGATAATGGCATCCAAATGACATCTTAAAATAGAGTATATTCTATTACCCTCATAAAAAAAGCTTCACAAGAAAAAGTCAGACACTAAGTATTTTCACTGTCAAAAACTTACCGCTTTATAATTACATAGCTCAAATATGTAAGCACTTAAAATATTGACATTGCCTAACGGTTCAATATCTCAAGATTAATCTAGTTACTATTTATCCTATATGCTTAAAATCAAATAATGTGTAAGCTCAGTCTTGATGTGTGGCAATTCTCAGTGAGCAACTTTTTCACTTTATTCATTTTTGAACCTTCAAAATAGGCATTAAATACATGTTATCTGCGATGTCAATATGAATGGAAAATAAAGGTGGTATGTGACAGTGCTGTGAGTTACTTTTCCATTTATTTATTTTTCAATATTTGAAAGAGGTACTACTTGATTATCTTATATGCGACTGTCAAACCTTTAAAAATAAACTTGTGATAGGTGGCAATTCTGTGGAATACCTTTAGTTTTCAATATTTCAAAAAGGTAATACTTGATTATCTTATATGCGACTGTCAAACCTTTAAAAATAAACTTGTGATAGGTGGCAATTCTGTGGAATACCTTTTTATTTTTTCAGTTTCTTTCTTTTTTAGCATTAAAATAGGTACTGGGCTCTTCATGTTTGACATTCAATTTCCCGCTTGATTTGAAAAGTTGCAAATCTTTGACTTCCGATCATTCGAAACTAAAATCGAAACTATAACTCACTTAATACTTATTACTAAACTAAACCTCACTTACTCCAGGAGATATACATGTGAGACACTGAAACATCATTTAGTTATTACTCTTTAATATTTCTAAACTTCAAATTTTTCCTTTTTTTATTATTCATTTTAATTGTCAAGCGCATTTGAACCTTTTTATGCTAATTTGCGAGATATAAATGCAGACTGTAAACATATTGTTATGGCAGACTATTGTTGAATCAAGAGATTTCTTATTTTATAATGGATTTTATCTTTTTATTTCTTTTCTACTTTTTCGTTTCATTTTGTCCTTTTTCCGTTATTTCCTGCAATTCTTATTCTCATTGTCTTTCTTTCTTTGTTAATTTCTTCCCTTTCCTTTTGAAAATTTCATTTAAGTTGCTAGTGTCTCTTTTCCTTCATTATTTCTTTTTAATTAAACTCTTAGCTTTTCTCTTTTCTTTCCTTCTTTCCTTCTTTCCTTCTTTCCTTCTTTCCTTCTTTC